AAAAAAAAAAAAAAAAACAATTAAAAGAGTTCAGAACTTAACAAAATGAGATTTGACCTGTGCCAAAACTATTTTGAGAATTTTAAATATGACATTTTTCCTGGTATGAATAAATTTATAGCAACAAACAGTAATAAAGATACACTTGATCTTGTATGTTATATATGTTGACATAGAAATTTGATTTTACTCTAAAAAAAGATAATAATGATCAACATAGATGGAGAACAATGCCAAAAAAAATCAAGAGAAGTTTGAAATATGACTTGCTTTGTGAAGCACAGAGAACACGGCAAGAGGCTGAATTTCCTAGAATTAGCTATGGCTTATATAGTCATGTGAATACTCTTCCTGCTGCCAGGGTATACCCTAATTAATAACATAAATATATTTGTCTACCTATCAAACTATGCTGACAGAACAATTGTTGATTGTTGAATCCATGTTCCCTTTATCTTTCTTAGTGACATATAGATACGGAAAACTGGAGGAAAAAAACTTAAGGACATTGCATTGGGAGGGTAGATAGAGTATGGCCACTCAGTCAGATAAGCCTAAGTTCAAATTAGGGTGGTGATATAATTCATCATCTAAACTAGGACACTTTCTGGGAGTAAACATAGCCACTACCTATTAATATAGGTAACCAGGAAAGCAGGCGTAAAACAGAACTGTTCTAGGCAAACTGGGATGTAAGGTCAGTCTAGGTCAAATCCTGGCCCTTCACTTAATGATTTCACCTAGGAATATCATTTAGCATCCTTAAGCTTCAACTTTTACATTTGGAAAACATCGATTTTAAAAAATACCTCATAGTGCTTTCGTAAGATTAAATAAGACCATTAATAAATATAAATATTTAGCACAATAACTTGTACAAAGTTCTTAGTAAGTACGTTGCTGCTGCTGCTGTTACTACTGTTTTCTGCCTAGGGATCTCCCTAACCTCATGTTCCATCTCAGAGGGATAGCATAGAGTTTTCTATTTTTAAGTTATCTTGAAATTTATTGAATGCACCCTGATAGCTGGAGCATTTCAAGGTGGGCCTCGTCAGCCAGATCTCTCTGTGATGGTATTTCCTCATCTTTCCTGGCCAAGGACTGAAGATATGGAGAACCTGTCCTTAGTCACCCTTCTTGAGGAAAAGAACAAAGGAGAAGAGCAGTCTATGGAGGTCTAGGGCTAAAAAGGATATTGTCAGAGAC